AAAATCAATGTCATTTCTGTGATTTATAGGCAAAAGTTCATCATTTAGAACCCCAGGCTAATTGAAAGTTTATCATATACCTAATATATATGGGTGTATATGTGCTGTTAGTATGATAATAGTTGATTTTTTAGATAGTAGTTGCGTGAAGTGAACAGACGTGTTTTTGTTGCTTGGATTTAGCATTTATAAAAAAAAAAAAAATGGACATCACAATGAAAAACATTGAAAAAATAATTTCAAGTAAAACTTGAGGAGCACAAAAATGTATCCTAAAAGAAACAGAAAGATTATTATTATTAAGACCAGGAAAAATCAATTATCAGTGCTAATCTCAAAATTATTACAGATAGATTGGACATGCTAAAGAACGACATTAATAACAACAAATCTAAAATATCAAATATAGAAAAAAACTTATGCGACATAAAGGACAGCCTAAATTCTCAAGAAAATGATATCTCGGAAAAAATCACAAATAAAGAAATACTATGACAAAGAAATCAATTTATTATATAAAAAATCTATAGATCTAGAAAATAGATCAAGAAGAAACAACTTAAGAATTGACGGGTTACAAGTAACACCCGGCGAAAGTTGGGAAGATTGCAAAAAAGCTGTTAAAGATATTTTCAAAACACTATTGAAAATACCTAGTGAAGTGGTGGTCGAACGAGCTCATCGAATGAGACAACTTAAAGAAATCAAATCAAGAACATTAGGTCTTAAAACTCTTGAATAACCAAGACAAAAACAAAATTCTCCAGAAGTAAAACAACTTAAAGGAACTGGACTATACATAAATGAAGACTTCGCTCAAGAAACAATATATCATCGAAGAAAGTTATGGGAAAAAGTCAAAAAACTAAGAAGTGAAGGTAAACACGTCATTTTAAAATACGACAAAATACTTACACGAGATTTTAAAAAATAGCGCGACATTTTTTTTTTAACTAAGTAAACGCGTTTTCAATTTTCAATTTTAAAACAACGATCAACAAAACAATGGATTTTGAATCGATGCGCTTTAATGTCTTCGAAACTGCGAACTATATACTCATTGACGCTGATACGCATATTTTTCAAATGAATAATTTTGATTCTCGATATTTTAAAACTGAAACTTTTAAAACTGAACTTGAAACTATTAAAAATAATTTTACAGTTATTCACATAAATATAAGAAGCATAAATAAAAATTTTGACAAACTTAAGCACTTCCTAATTGATTGTAATTATTTATTCAGTATGATTTGTCCAACAGAAACTTGGTCTTCTGACGAATAAATCCAAAATAACACTAACTTTCAAATTCCCAATTATAAATTAATATCTTCTAAAAGAAAAACATGCAAAAAGGGAGGAGGGATTGCAACTTATGTTCGGAATGATCAAGTAATAAAAGTAAGAAAAGACCACTCCATTTCTAATGCCAAAATGAGGTCTTTACAATAGAAATCTTTTTTTTTTTTTTTAATATTTTAGTTTACATTTGTTAGTTCGTTTTTACAATATAATGAGAGTAAATAAAAAGTTAATACAAAATATAAAGTAAGCAAATACTACTAACATTTGAAGAACTAGGTATCTGAAAGAAGACCAGTAAGATCTTATCGTCAGAACCTTATACTTGTGTAAACAAAATGTGATATTATAAAGTAACTATAAGTACAACAAAATAAAAATAAAATATACATACATATATCACTTTGTAGTATATATAATAAAGTTTAATAAATATTATTGTCAAATTTTGATAATACGGGAGAGAAAAAGATTTTTTAGCTTAACTTTAAAAAGATGCAAAGAAGTAGGAAGATCAAAATTAAAATTAGGCAAAACAATTTTGTTCCAAAGATGGGGTGCACGATAATCAATGCAAAATTAATTAAAACTTGTTCGACAAAAAGGCTCATATAGAAGGTTGTTATTTCTAAGAGAGTATTTATTGGTAGGTTTCAAAGTAGTTAAATCATTAAAAACGGCAGGAGAAAGATTGTTTTTACATATATATACAAAGCATAAAATATTAAAAATATTAAGTTCGTAAATATTAAGTATTCTCATTTCAGAAAAAAGATGTTTAGAGTGAGAAAAACGATCAGCAAAATTAATTACACGTATTGCATGTTTCTGACGGCGATAGAGAGATTGTAACTTACTTTTTTCAGTGCTTGCCCAAGCAATATTTGCATAATTCATATAGCTATGAATGAATGCATAATAAAGTTGGGATAAAACTTTTTAATTTATATAGATTCTGGCCTTATAAAGAATTCCAATATTTTTTGAAACTTTAGTACCAACATAATCAATATGTTGCTTCCATGTGATGTTCTCATCAAGGAATACGCCTAAAAATTTTGTGGTGCAATCTCTTTTTATTTCAATATGGTCAATAAAAATATCAGGTAGAGTTGGGGGTAAATAACGTTTTTTAGTTATCGAATGAAAAAGAATCCATTTTGTTTTTTTAATATTTAGGGTAAGTTTAATGCATTTAAACCAGCTAGAAATTATTTTGAGTACTTAATTCATAGTAGTGAAGAGTTTATTAATATTTTTATCAGATAAAAATAAATTAGTATCATCCGCAAACATAATACTTAAAACATTAGAAGCTTAATGCAAGTCATTAATGTATATTAAAAAAAGAAGTGGCCCTAAAATTGATCCTTGCGGAACACCACATGAAATATCTAAAACATTTTTTTGATAAGGATCGTTAAAAGAAACGAATTGTTTTCGGTTTGTTAAATAACTTTTAAACCACTTCAAAACTACACCATCCACTCCATAATATTTAAGTTTATGAATCAAAATGCCATGATTTACTGTATCAAATGCTTTTGATAAATCCAAAAAAATACCTAAAGTGAATTGGGAATTTTTGAAAGAGTTGGAGATTTCACGGACGAATTGAATGATTGCATGCTCGGTAGAACTATTTTTTTTAAAGCCAAACTGATTTTTATAAAAAAAATTCTTCTCCTTAAAACAAGTATATAATCTATTGTAAATAATTTTTTCTAAGATTTTTGAAAATGTTGATAAAATAGAAATAGGTCGGTAGTTACATATATTAGTTCTGTCTCCTTCTTTGTATATTGGGATTATCTTAGCTATTTTTAACTTATCAGGAAAAACTCCTTGTTGTATTGACGCTCTGAAAACTTTAAAGAGAATATCTTTTAGTTGTTCAAATCATTCTAAGACTATGTTTCCATTTATTTTATCAGCTTCCATTTATTTCATCAGCTCCTTCATTAACTCCAAGTTTAAAAATATTATTGTTTTTACCTGTTATAGACCACCTGAAGGTAATATTAAAGCTTTTTCTAATTATCTAAAAGAAAAATTTTTCTCAAAATCAATAAAGAACAAAAAAAACTATTCTGTATTGGAGACCTCAACAAAGATTGTTTAAATAATAATTTTTAATAACATGTTTCAACATTGTATTTTACCAATTATTAATAAACCCACACGAGTAACCTTAAATTCTATTTCTGCCATAGATAACATACTAACAAACTCATTTTTAGATACCTCCTTAAAATTGATATAACAAATCATTTTCCAATTTACTTTACAATAACAAATGATACAAGAATAAATAATAATATGAAAAAAATAACTTATAAAAGAAAAATAAATAAATTTACTATTCAAAGTTTTAAAGACACACTATCGTCAGTAGATTGGGTTAAAGTGTATCAAGACATTACAAAGATGTAATCTTGGGAACGCAAACTTTGCATATAATAATTTTACAGATATTTTTCTAAAGCACTATAATAATTATTTTCCAATTAAAGAAAAAGAAATCAAATTAAAATGTTTGAGCTGTCCATGGATCACCAGTGGAATTAAAAATCTTCAAAAACAAATATAAAAAGATAAGGGAAATATAAAAAACAAAGCAAAAATAGCCAATAAATTCTTTCAAACATTCAATTCATTCATTCCAAAAATAAAAAATATAAAAATTAATTTAAGAAACAAACAAAAAAATTTTTATGATTTAAAATAAACTTAAAAAAAAACTACAAAAAAATTTTGTATTTATCATCAAAAATACTTATTAAAACAATTTAATTTGAAACATTCATTATTATATATCTTTTAGTAAATAGCATGAAGATTATCAAGCTTTGTTTTAGCTTTTTAAATACAATAGACCTTATTGCGGTTGCGAAATGCATCTTGGGTAATCAGGGCAAACAAACAACAAAGTTAGTTTAATTTAGTGAAGAAAAGCTGAAGATCTTCTGCTTATTTTTTATTTCCTAGTACTCAAATTTTTAATTTGGTGTTTTATACTTTGAATTTTTTATTGATGTAAATAAATAAAATATAAATTTAAAATGCCAAACTACCGCTGCTGTGTTGCTGGTTGTAATAACGACTCTAGGCATCCAGATAGGTTATTTAAAAGAACTCAAGTAAAAGAGGTAAAATTTCACTACTTTCCTAAAGATTCTTCGAAACGGTAGCATTGAGTAAATCAAGTTAAATAAGGTTTAATAAATTTTACAGTTTCTGATAATAAAGTGGTTTGTTCTAATCATTTTGAGTTTGGAAAGCCTACTTTTGCTTCGCCCAATCCAACTTTATACATGAATATTCGTAATGCGGAAAAAGAAACTCCTTCAAAACTTAAACGATTTGATGTCATATTAGAATCAGAAGCAAACAGTTCATTGACATGTTTAACTTTAGAAAATGAACACTGTGATAAATCTATTCAGTATAATGAGCCAATACGACGATCAATAATTTTTGCTGATTTAACCAGAGATTTTGATGTTCAGTTTTTTACAGGCCTTGCAAATTTAAATGCCTTTGAAATGTTGTTTTCTTACTTAGAAAGAAAAGGAAATGTAATGCACTATTAGAAAGGTAGTAAAAATACAAATAAAAATTTATCTTCGCCAAGAGATTTAAAAACAATAACATTAAAATCTCTAACATTGCAACAAGAGTTTCTTCTTGTGATGATGCGTTTACATTTAGGTCTTTTAACTGAAGATCTTGCTCATCGTTTTATGGTTTCTATTTGTGTGGTGAGTTCAGTATTTATAACTTGGATAAAACTTCTTTCTCTTGAATTAAAATGGCTTATACATTTTCCTGACAGAAATAATATAAAGAGAAATTTACCAACAACGTTCAGGAAATACTACCCAAAATGCTCAATAATAATTGATTGTAGTGAGCTTTTCATTGAAACACCATCAAGTTCGGATACTGCTGCAAGTTGTTGGTCAAATTATAAACATCATCATACTGTAAAATATTTGGTTGGAATAACACTAAATGGTGCAACTTCTTTTTTATCAAATTGTTATGGTGGAAGAGCTAGCGGTGTTTTTATTGTTAAAGATTGTGGAATTTTAAAATGCTTACAACCTGGAGATCAAGTTATAGGAGATAGAGGTTTTAAAATAAAAGAACCACTAGCTTTTTACCAGTGCAATTTAGCTATTCCTTCATCAAAACACACGAATTTGCAAATTACATCTAATGACGTGCGGGAAACCTCAAAAGTTGCAAATGTTCGAATTTATGTAGAACTAGCCATAGGGCGTATGAAGAACTTTCGTTTTTAAAAAATGAGTTGCTAGTCACATGATTACCATTATGTGACATAATGGTAATCATGTGATTACCATTATGTGACATAATGGTAATCATGAGTTGCTAGTCACATGATTACCATTATGTGACATAATATTACTGTATGCGCTGTATTAACAAACTTCACGCCGCCCCTTTGCATTGATGAAAACAAAACATAAGATTCACTTTATATGTATATATATATATATATATATATATATATATATATATATATATATATATATATATATATATATATATATATATATATATATATATATATATATATATATATATATAACAATAATAAAAGTAAATTCTCGGTAGACAGTGCTCAATACAAAAGTAGAGCAAATATGTATTAAATTATTAATAAAATAAATACAATTAGATTTGAAATATAACTCAGAGTTTCACGCTTTATGCGATCATCAGACGTTACAAACAACCGTAACAACAACAAAAATTATATACAAAAATACAATACAGTGTTAGCTTAGATGACGTTAAAGTTGCAAATAACAAATTTGTTTTCGTGGCGACATTTTGATATTAGTTCATTTCGTTTATTCAGTAGTTTCAAATGGTTCCGCTCTATCAATATTATTGGTAGGGCGGAACCATTTAAACCTGGAGGAAAGTTATGTAACCTTTGCTTAACCGAAAAATACCATATCATTACGTCATCTTTGAAACTACTGAATAAACGAAATGAACTAATATCAATATATATATATATATATATATATATATATATATATATATATATATATATATATATATATATATATATATATATATATATATATATATATATATATATATATATATATATATATATATATATATATATATATATATTTTGTTAGATCGACTTAAAGTGGCCTTTTCATTGGTAAAAACTTAACTTAAAGTGGACTTTTACTTAAAGTGGATTTTTTTGAGTCCACTTTACGTTTTTGATTAGTTTTTAGACTAAGTTATAGCTGTTGAAAAGTTAATAGCAAGTTTTTCTGATCGGACTATTGCTTCTATAAAGGTTTGCGGAGAGGAAGTTTTGTTTAAAAAGCATAATTTTGAGTTTAAGTGTTTGTTATTTTGACCATGTATATTTCGTCACTGTACAAAAAAACACTTAAAGTGGATCTACATTTTGAGACTAGGTTTTGTGTATAAATCTTTACAATATTTGATCGAGTTTTTTAGTTCTATAAGACATCATACACCTTATACTAACCAAACTTAAATGAAATGTTAAATCTTTCTTTCTACAGATATAACATAAAAAATGCACCTCTTCACAGTTCCGATAATTTCGTGCGCGCGCATTTTTAAATAGTTTGTTATTGTTCATTGTGCGCAGAATCGCATGAAAGAGTTTGATTTGTACTAATAAACTACAGAAGAAAGTCATTTATTTTAGTTAGTTTTTACTATTTTTAATTGTTTTAAACATGAAACCTCAAAGTTTGAAAAGAAAACGATCAATGGGATGTGCTGTATTTGATTGCAGCAGTAGCCAATATAATCTTGAGCTTTGGCGCAATGAATTTTGTGAGTTACACAAGGTCTTAAGAAGCAGTTTGACTTGCAGATGTTCGGAACCTTACAAGTATGTATACTACATATAATGTTATTTATCTAAAATTTAAACATCTGGCTAAACATGTATAAAGTGAATTAATGAATTAATGTTACATATTATGTGTAGACATTATGGAATAGGGGTATATAGTACCTATAATAATGTAATAATATCTGTATATAATAATATTATACACAGATATTATTAATATCTTCCTACAACATGTATAAAGTGAATTATATGTTACATATTATGTGTAGACATTATGGAATAGGGGTATATAGTAACTAAATAATAATGTAGGAAGATATTAATAATATCTGTATATAATAATATTATATACATATGTTATTAATATCTTCCTACATTATTATTTAGGTACTATATACCCCTATTCCATAATGTCTACACATAATATGTAACATATAATTCACTTTAAACTTGTTTATATTATTAATATATTATATAATATTAATATTATTATATAATATAATACCTACATAGCCAAATAAGACATTTTGTAGGCCTAGGGCAAAACATGGTCTTAAGTAGCCTTAAAAAAATGACATGTAGTTACTTTCATGAAAATAAATACATACTATAGTATGTATTTATTTTCATAATATATGCCTTTTCATGCCTTTTCATGGCTAGTACTAGCCATGTATGGCACGCTGTTATTGATATGTAGGCATATATTGTATACCTTATTCCATAGTATGTCTACTTATATTTATACAATATGCCTATGTAATATGTCTACAATATTTCTGTATTTCTCCAATATATGTACAAATTCTAAACAAAAAATTTATACACAAAAGATATTATATACCCCTATTCCATGACATATAAATATGCTTGAAAAAAGTCGAAGAAATTTGATTCGATTTTGTTATAGTTGTAGTTATTAGCCATTGTTTCTCTTGTCTTTATATTGTTGTTGATGTAGATGGTATCCATCTATTATTAGTTTTTTTTTTTTCATGTCTTTATATTGTTGTTTATAGATGGTAACTGGTTATTCATCATCAGCTATAACCACATTTATATAAATTTTATATTCTGTAAAAAAAACCATTGGTTAGTGAGAACGACTGTGTTTAACTCATAATATAAGGAGTGTAAATCAGGAAATTCTATTAAAGATCCTGATAGATGACTTCTTTATTGTGATTTTTTTTACAGAATATAAAATTTGTATAAAAGTGGGGTATGACAACTTTGAATGCCCAATTGCTTGAAACTTATATAAAACTTATAAATAAATAATAATAAAAGATATATATATATATATATATATATATATATATATATATATATATATATATATATATATATATATATATATATATATATATATATATATATATATGTACTAAAATCATTTGTATTTATAAATTATAAGCTATAAATTTGTAATTGAATAAATTTTATCTTTTTAGATTATTTGTATTTCCATCAGAAAAAAAATTGCCAGAAAAGCGTTTAAAGTGGCAGCAACTAATCAACCGTCAAAGCCCTACACGTCGAAATAAATACTGCAAAATTGGAGCCAACCACAGAGTATGCTCTAAACATTTTGTTGATAGTGAACCATCTGTAGAAAATCCATATCCAATTATTAATCTTGGTTACAATTCATCCAAAAAAATCAAAACTATTTTAACTGCACAATCTCTACGATCGCAAGTAAATAAAAAATTAGAGTTAAATTGTGATTCTTTACCATCTTGTGCTTTGCAATCTTCTTCTGCAACATCATTTTTACCATTGAATTCAACATTAAAATCTACTAATGATTCCATTTTTTTCTTGTCATCATCAAATTTTAAAAATACAGAAGACAAAAGTTATGTAGATTTTTCTATTATTAATACATCATTGAAGGACTTACACAAAGAATCATTGCAAGACCTACATGATGAATCATTACAAGACATACACGATGAATCATTGAATGACTTACACGAGAAGATAAATTTGAAAAAAGATATTAAACAAACTATTTTGGATAGCAGTAGTAATGATCTCCTTGCTAATGACTTATTATTTGAAAATTTAAGATTAAGAAAAGAAAATGGTTATCTAAGGAGCAAAAACAAAGAATTTCGTAAAAAAGCAAATATGTTTGAGAAACTTTATTTAAAAAACTCTAAAGATATTTATACTTTGCATACACAAGTCACCAAGTGCATTTGTAAGCAAAGTGTTTCAAATTGCATTTTGAAAACAAATAGTGATTGTGACTTTTTTACTGGGGTTCAAACATTAGCAGAGTTTAAATCTCTTCATAATATCATTTCACCATTTGTTCGCAGGCGTTGGCGTGGTACACTAAACACTACTCCTATTTCAAGAAAGTTTAAAAAAGCACCAAAGCAATTTGGGCCTCTGAGGAAGCTGTTAAGCGAAGAAGAATTTCTTTTGTTTTTAATGAAAATGCGTCTTGGATTATTAAATCGAGATTTAGCAGAAAGGTTTAAGGTTTCAGAAGCTTTAATTAGTTCTGTAATATCTTCTTGGCTTAAAGCATCTTCTGCAGTATTATCCCCGATTGTTTATATTCCTGATAAAGGTAACATTGTAAATACTCACCCAGATCGTTTTATAAATTACAAAAATCTGCATTCTATTATGGACGCTACAGAATTTTTTATTGAAACTCCCAAAAATCCAGATCTACAAAAGTTAACATGGAGTGAATACAAGCACCATAACACAATAAAAGTTCTTGTTTGTATAGCTCCTAATTCTTCAATAATGTTTTTGTCTCATTGTTATGGAGGATCTATCTCAGACAAAGCAATTACTAATTTAAGTGCATATCTTGACAAAGTTCCACCTCATTCTCAAATTATGGTTGACAAAGGTTTCCTTATTAAAAAAGAATGTGACGCTCGACACATTATTTTAACTGTGCCACCTGGAAGAAAAGGTTCAGAGCAAATGACACCTTCTGAAATTGTTAGCACGCAAAAAGTTGCAAATCTAAGGATTCTAGTAGAACAAGTTATTCGGAGGTTAAAGACTTTTAGAATTTTGGCTGGAGAATATCCAATTAACATGATAAGATGTTTTGATGACGTAGTTACAGTATGTGCTGCATTGTCAAACTTACGGAAAACTATATACTTGTAATGAAATTATAGACTACTATTCTATTTGCGTTCGCTTTTAATAGTATACAAAAATAATAATTTATCTGTTATCTGCATTTGTAGTATAGGTTGTGTTAATAAACGTTGTATCTTAAATTATAAATGTTATCATTGTCAATATCTCGGAATATTTAAGAACTATTAAATAATATAACTCGAACCTCCGGTGGGACAAAGAAATTAGTTCAAGTTATCGGGAAATATTCCATTATAAAGGGTTGACAACAAACATTAAAATAAATTTATATTTTAGTTATGGTAGGTTAGGTGCATGGAGTGTATTTTTAATAATCTACCCTGCTCCACAAAATTCCTTTGCGCCGGTGCCCAACGCCACCAAAAATTCCGTTTCCGTTTTTATCTGTATGCATTTGTAGTATAGGTTGTGTTGATAAACGTTGTATCTTAATTTATATATATATATATATATATATATATATATATATATATATATATATATATATATAAATTTATATACATTTATATATATATATATATATATATATATATATATATATATATATATATATATATATATATATAAATTTATATACATTTATATATATATATATATATATATATATATATATATATATATATATATATATATATACATTTATATATATATATATATATATATATATATATATATATTTTGTTTTTTTTCTATAATCCCGGGATTATAGACAAATTCATGATCCCAAAATCCCGGGGTTTGTGTCTAAAATTTCCCGGAATTTCGGGATTGTAATAAATAAATAAAAAATTGACTAACCTTAATTTATTTAAAATGCCTAGTATATTTAAATTTTTGCTATATGATTTGTTATATAATATCTAATCTTAAAATGCATGTTATCATTGTTAGTATCTTGGAACCATAAATTCCGTTTCCGTCACTGCACGAAACTTATTTTTAACGTTTATTTTTAAGCTTGTACATTTGTACGAACAATTCAACCATTTGGTTAGTCGACAATTTGGTTGTGGAAGGCAGTACAAAGGTACTGCCTTCCACAACCAAAACCCATATAGTGTGCATAGATTTTAGTCATTGTATTTACTTTACTTTGAAAATATTTGCCTACAAATTCTCTACAAATTGCCTAAAAATTATAAAAGATTTCGATTGTTTAAATTGAATGAATTTATCATTTTTATTTGGATGTAAAACCATATAGAACATCAATAATGTTCTATATGGTTTTTAATAGAAATAGTAAAATAATCTTAGCTTTATAGATATGAAACTAACATTTACTATATCCTGTTTTGGTTAGAGATTTTTAATCAGTTTTTTAAATCATTAATTTAATTTTTTTAAACATTAATTTTAATCAGCACCCCTAGTCATTTAAAAAGTGAGAACTAATAGGATAACTAATAAGGGGCCATTCAAAAAGGAGGTCACTATACTTGAAAATGACGTTATAAAATCCTGATCCCCTCACCCTATTATTACCCAAATTTTTTATTTGATCTCACAATGATGTTTGATACAACTGCTGCACCTTTGAATTAAAATATTATCTTACATTCTCTTCATAAAAGTACATAGTTTTCTATGATAATAAAACTTAAATAAAAATCTTAAATAATAAAAATCTTAAATAAAACTTGGAACTTGGAAAAGGTGGAGGGGGGATGCTTTATGTCATCTGCAATACTTTGCAGCTGTTTTATCATAATTTCAATAGAATTTAATATGCTTTTCTTTGTTATCTTTTGGTGAGAAATAAACCAAGTTAATTTTCGGCAAATCGAGATGGTTTTTATAGTCTGTTTACACTAAACGTTTTTGTCAGTGACTCGGAAATTGTTTTCTAACTTTAAAGGCAAATTTTTAGATTTTTTTTTTTAGGTTTGAGATATATAAAATTTGTGCTGATAACAACAAAATTAATAAATGGGCGGGGGTGTCTAAATAAAGTTAGGGTGGGTGAGAAAAATATCCAAAAAATATTAAGAGGGGGAAGGAGAGGGAGGTTTATTAAGAAATCAAGAGTACATACCCCCCTACACATGCGCACTTAAACTCTAAATAAAGTTAGGGTGGGTGAGAAAAATATCCAAAAAATATTAAGAGGGGGAAGGAGAGGGAGGTTTATTAAGAAATCAAGAGTACATACCCCCATACACATGCGCACTTATTATTTCCTTCCACCACGCCTATTAACTTTACCACCTTAACAATTACCCGCCTTAACTGAGCTTAAAAGTGCTAAAGAACCTGACCCTGCACATTAAATGACACATTAAATCTTAGGTAAAGAAGACTACTTTTTCAAAAATAGACCCAGGCCCCCATAAATCCTAATTTGCCACTGAACTCAATAAAAAGATTCAAATATTTTTTGATTAAGTAAAAACTTTTTTTGATTAAGTAAAAACAAATTGTTCACATTCAATTGAGTTATCTTTACTGCTTTAAGAAGACATTTTTACATTCTTCACACATCCATGAATCATCATCTGATGGTATATCATTTGCAGTTTTTATTCCAACACAGTGAAAATGAAACCATGAATTGCATGTTTCACAAGCTACAGAATTTTCTTCAAAAGTTTCCGCTATATATGGAACAACAGTTTTACACACACTGCAAACATACCTCGGTGTAGATAAAACTGGTATAAGAGATTTTGACTTTAGTGATTGTTTAGGTCGAGATATTTTTGCACGTTTAGTTGATACAAGTGACATTGGGGATTTTGACTTGAGTGATTTTTTTAGTGGCAATATTTTTGTCATTACAACTTCTCTGACATCAGAGACAGCACTTTTTAAGTTGTCTGATGGAGAGAACTGCTGAAGTTCATTACTGCTAGTATTAGTATAAAGAAGAAATGGTGCTAGATGATCATACCAAAATTCTAAAAGATTTTTTAGCATTCGTTCAAAAAATATTTTATCAAACAAAATACTCTCTAAGTAGTGGCCATGATGTGTAAAAACAAAGTACCATGCATGTAAAATGTTCAGAACTCCTAATTGACCCTGGATTTGAAAATAATGATCATGAGTCTTTTTTAAACAAACTTTTCCTTCTACATTTATATGCAATGAATTGTAGTTTAAAACGGTTGGTATAGTGTCTCTAATAATGTAAGGGCATTTTATCTCAACGCATCCAATACCGCAACAGCATTCAACAATAAGATCAGGAGAAGCTGAAATGAATTGAAACTTTTTATAAATTTGCATGCCTGAATCATAAAACTTTATATTTTTGTGACCATTTTCTTTTAGAATTTTTACCACTGCTCTTTTAGCATGAGCTTCTGTTGCAATACCATGTCTTGTTGCAAATGTTTCAAACTTGTTTATTTTAGTTATAGTTTTTAACAAAGCAGCAGAATCATGTTTACTTTCAATTCGGGTAAAAACTGATTTAAATTTAGAAGCAGTAATCCTGCCCTGGCGTTGGTTAAACCATATGCTTGATGAAGATTGCATTCGAGTTGCTTCTTCAATACTTTTAATCTGCATATCATTCAATGCTAAACTTTCTGTAAAACAATTTACATTTTCAGTCAATGATAAGTTGCTGTCAATCTTAAAATTATTCGCTGATTCAACCACACCTAATGGTAGGTTAACTTTAGATTTTTCCACTTTTTTGGATTTACCATTGTACAATTCAACAAAACAGCTATTGTGGGAAACATCTTTCAGGGATTTGTACAAATAGTCTCGAAACTGGTTTTTGTTACTTAGAAGTTGTTTTTGTTCGTCTGTACAAAAAACATATTCTTTTAATGATTTATTGGATTCTTCTATTTTTATTTCTGTAGGTTTATTTCCTTTTTTGTAATGATGTTTGTTAAATACAACATCGCAAAGTGGTTTGTGTGTTAAAACAGTTTTAATACCACTTGGAACCTTCCATTTTGCAAAAACACTAGTACATGACGGTTTCGTTGCCCCTGTACACACTGCAGCTTCAACTCGAAATAGCATTGCAATTACATGGTTGCAACAACCAAGAAGACCTGCAATACAAGTACAATATGCTGAATTGATTTCTCCTCCAGGTCTTTCATTATCTTTTTTAACTGCTGCCCAAACATGATAAGGTGTACTAGATGTACGCTGTGATGGTGTTACACGGGATTTGAGGAAACAAAAATCAGATTCTTCAGTTATTTCATGAAAATATATCTCTTTGACAAACTCGCATTTGTAGTAGCGGTAAGCTTTGCCTTCTTTATAGTCTGAATCTAAACGATTCATTAGCTCATATGGCTGCTCAAGTTTTCGTAAATATTTTTCTATATCAGTGTAGTAAATGGAAGGCCACTTGTATAACCCGCTCCCACTTTCAGAAAGCCAATTTTTCTTTAGTGAAAATGGGTCTGGAATCACACAGCCACGTAAAATGAGTTTTGACTTGTACTCGCATACTAGAAGCCTTTGGCGATCTTCACTTTCATTATCAATAGGTGTTTCATTTTCAATGGCAGAAAACACTCTAATAAAAGTTTAAAAATTTTTTATGTATAAATTAAAATATATGAATCATATATAATACATACATATGTTGTATAAATGTACATACATGGATATGTATATATTAGTAAAAGACAATTATGAACAAACTAAAAGTAAAAAATATAGTATAAAATTACAATGTATGAATATGTAGTACATGCATATATGAATCATATTATGATGCATCATATATTATGATACATATGTCATATATGTATAAATAAATGCATATATTATATGGATTTATGCATGTATTATATATTCATACATTGTATGTATTTATGTATGTTGGATGTAGGCCCGTATATATATATGTTATTTTTACGTTTTTTTCTTACCTGAAAACCAAAGTTTCAAAATCACCATCAACATCTTTATTCCTCAATATTAAATACTCTTTAACAGCTTTTTCACTCCACGTACGAATTCGTTCTAAGTTTATTTTATCCATGATCAAAAAAATTCTAAAACAGAAACTTATAAAAATCTAAACTTTGAATCATCTCATATAAAGCTAAATAAATATCTATATTATTAGAAAACTCACGTAAACAACTGTTTCTTTCAAGGATGCTTTCTTAATTTATCTGTTAATTTACTTCCTTTCATGCGATTCTGCGCACAATGAACAATAACAAACTATTTAAAAATGCGCGCGCACGAAATTATCGGAACTGTGAAGAGGTGTATTAATGAGGTCGCTAACGCATAGATTTTGTTCAAAAAAAAAAAAAATTATTATAAGTTAATTAAAAGAATTTATTAACCAAGGTAAAGTTAAATTTGTTTATCTGTAAGAAAGCAATAAAATAATTTGTAAAACTAAATTTAAAGCAACCCTTACACATTATTTTTACACTTAATTTAAAGTCCATTTAAAGCAAACTTTTCAACATGTTTTGTATAAATCCATTTAAAGCTAAATTTCAAACATATTTTAAATAAATCCACTTTAAGCGAAGTTTCAAATGTTTTAAATAAGCTCACTTTAATTTAAGTTTCAAACAAATTAAGTAAGTCCATTCCAAGCGAGGTTTTAAGCGTTTCAATGTAAATAAATCCAGTTTTAAATGTTTTTAATAAGCTCACTTTAAGCAACATTTTAAACAGTTTAAGTAAGTCCATTTTAAGTGACGTTTTAAACGTAAATAAGTCCACTTTAAACGGACTTTTAAACGTTTCAAAATAACACTTTAAACAAAGTTTAAGCATGTTTCAGAAAGCTGATTAAGTAAAAGCGTTGAAAATAAATTATATTTATCAACATAACCAAAAAAATATATGCTAATAATCTTTATTTATCATATAACTAATGCTACAAGAACAATCTATATATTATTTTCAATTCTATTTTTATAACTTAATTACTAAGGTTTTAAATATTTGAGTTCAAACTTAAAAAAAAGGGCGGTGTACAGGTATCGTTGACGTCGAAAAACGCTTTAATTTTGTTTAAATTAAAAAAAATTTAACTCCAGACTCCTTAAAATCCTTTTTTTTTTTAATGAAAATAGTGTAAGTAAAATAAATCATGGTATTGCACCGTAATAGTAATAATATTAATAGCAATAATAATATATTATACTAATATAAGATAAAATAGTAATAATAATACAAATTATAGTAATAAAAAAGTATGCTTACAATATTTGCAATGAAAAAAACAATAATAATAATAACTAATATTATGATGGTAGTTATCACCATAAATGTTTTTTTTTTAAATTTTTTTTTCCTTAGATTTAGGTTTAAAAAAGTATTTTACTAATTAAAAAAAAATAATTAAAAAAAATTAGCGAAACTTGAAGATATTAACGATATATAACAGGTTTGTATATACGTGATCGTATGGATTTCGATTTAGATGACAGCCCATACGTCAATATATTGCAAATTTTGAATGCCACAAAGCGTTTTTGCAAACTTAAAAATGATGCCAATGCAGTTTATTTTTTCATTCATTTCAAATTTTGCTACGTAATTCGATTTTTTAAAAGTATAAACGTCGTTTTGTCAGATACTGGGATTGGCATGAAATAAAATCATGAAATATAACAATTAGTAAAAATGCTTATCTTAGTTATACAATATTTCACCAATAAAACATTGCTTTAAATTAAAGCGAAACACATGCTCTACAAACAGGAGTGCTTTTAAATTATTACGAGAGAGGGGTTATTTTTCAAAAGTTACAAAATGTCTAATAAAAATGTCTTCAAAAATCCAGTTCTACAAACAAGGTTTGTAGCTGGGTATATTCTTATATTTTTCAGCTGGGTATATTCTTATAATTAATGTTTATGAGTTAAATTTGATTTTCCTTGTGTGTATGTGGAGAAACATTCCCCCCAAACCGTTAAAAACTGTAATTAAAAATTTATGAAAACTCAAAGTTAAAAATAAAAAAATAATAGTTTTGGATAAAATAAAAAAGCTCTTATAGGTGAATAAAATTAGCTGAGTTCAATCGCACACACGTTCGAATAGGATCGCAGAATCCTCTCTGCTTACTTTACAATTTTGAATAAAAATTTTAAATTTTTTAAATAATTTAGTTAAGATTTCTCAACATCTATAACAGAGCGCATATTTTCTGCTGGTGGAAATATACTGTCCTACCAGCTAAGAACATGCCTTGCTCTTTTCTTATAATTTTGCTATTAAACATAATGTTTTATTATCAGAATAATCTAATAATTTCTTCTCTCATCAAATAACTTTGTTAACTGATCTTCAATTAGGGAGGACCGAAGCTAGTTGGCCGCATGGGTAAGAGCCTTTTATCATAAAGCAAAAAAATTACACAGAACTTTCCTAATTGACCATTTTATCATTCACTGTAGTATTGTCAGGATTCGTGCATGCGCATGGGAGATGTTGAGATTTTGTGTTTCTCGGACAAAAACGTAACTTATGGAACATCGGTTCCTTTTTACTTTACAAAAAAAAAATAATCATTCAAATGAAAAAAAATATATTGTAAAAGTTCCAGTCACAATTGGTTTACTAGTTAATATTAAAAAACTTTTTATTAATTTTGCACTTAGTAGTACATTAATAATCATTTTTATAGTTTGCGCCAACTTACCCAGTGGTGGTACCCAGTTGGCGCAATTTTTTCTTTTTTTTTGAGGGCTTGGTAAGGACTTAAGATTTATTTTTTTTTGTAAATGAATGCAAATTTTGTAATATATATATATATATATATATATATATATATATATATATATATATATATATATATATATATATATTTTGTATATATATATATTTTGTATATATATATATATATATATATATATATATATATATATATATATATATATATATATATATATATATATATATATATATATATATATATATATATATATATATATATATATATATATATATATATATATATGTATATATATATATATATATATATATATATATATATATATATATATATATATATATATATATATATATATATATATATATATATATATATATATTATATATATACTAGGGCCCTGCGAATCAGCATTTTTAGTTTTGAATCAAATCTCGAATCGAACCAGGTCTTGATTCGCAAATCGAATCAAGACCTGGTTCGACCTTGATTTCGCATAGCTTAAAATCAACTGACATTCCAAATAGATGTTTTTTTACAATTAAAAGCTCGTTTTCAGTGTGCATTACGGCTTTAAACTTCGGGTCTAAATATGTTAAGGTAAGTAGCGTAACATTTGCTAAATTAAAACGTACATGTAGTTGCGAAAGTAACTCCTTTTTAAAGCTACTCATATAGCTACAACTTAACGAATCTAATTGATTTTTTAAAGTATAAATGCAAGGTTTAACCAAACAAATAGCGACAGTGGTATCAGTACTTAGTAGCGTTGTTGCATTCGATATTGGTTTTAAAAATGGAATGCACTTTTTTTGAATATCTTTCATCGCCTCCGATAGAGCTTGAGGAGGAGATTTTGCGCACCTACCACTTAAAGCGCATTCCGTAAGTGCCATTGTTATTGCCGTACAGTTTTCACATGATCAATTCAGAAGTTTAAATGTACTGTTAAACCTGGTTACAATATCAAGTGGTGGACAGGATTCTCGAAGCCCTTGTTCAAGTTGATGTTTCTTTAAACATTTTAGACCTACATAAGAACTGTTGAAAAAACCTGCAGTTTTGTGTACCAAAATAATCAAGATTTACCACATTTAAAAATAACGCGATTTTACCTTCCATTCTGTTAGAGTTATATAATGTACCGTTAAAACTAAGTAGTTGCTATTCGAGATGGGTTTGTTAAGAAAATCTGACATAACGCTTTCCTTAGATTTTTTTAAACAAATGTTTTCCGAAACATCTGGTTTCGACAATTTGCGTTTTTTTGCTCGATCTGTTTCAGCTTGAGTATGAAGCATCTTGTGCTTTCTTTCCAAGTAACTCCAGAGATGTGATGTTGTGCCAGAGCTTTGTTCACGTAAACTGGCTTTGCACGTTTTACATAAATAAAACTGATCTATTACTTCAAAGTACGACTTAATAATTCCCGCCATTGCATAAATAAGAAATATAGGTAATTTTAAAGAGTTTGCAAAATCAAAAATGAATTTAAAAAAAAAAGGCTTTCTAAGATAACTGTTTTCCAAATAATAAACGTGCAACAGATGTTTTTTGATTCGTTTCTTTTTACAACATCAACTTATAAAAAAACGTTTCTTAAATTCAATTGCTCTTTGTGAAATAAATGTACAAAAATCAAAATAACAATTGTAACTTTTTAAAAATAGCACGGTGGAGTTTTAAAGTCGTTGAAAATAATAATTGCCACAACTTTTACATTACAATTGAGGGGTGATTTTTTAATCTATGGGTCATCCATAAAGTGTAATGGTAATTTTTCCTTATAAAAATAAGTAGGAGGGATGTGTTAGGGTGGTGCATAAAACACCTAAGTCAACAAAAAAAATACCATAACAATTTGTCTGGTTCCTTTTGATATATGTATTAAAATAACATAATTTTTTTTTTTTTATGGGTACCCCTAGGGTCGGTCTTAGCGGTCCGAATATACCAAAATTTCTAATTTTTGTAAATAATGAGGGGGGCAGGGTCGCTTTCAAATATTTTGAAGATATTTTAAGTGTTATTTTAGTAGCCTTATATATTTATTTTTAGATTATGTTTTGTTTTATTGCAAAAGATGATGCAAATGGTCAGCCCTGTCCATTTAAATACACGCTGTGTATATTTAGGAGGCGGGGGGGGGGGGGCTGGTTAAGTAAAAAAATCTGCAATTTTTAAAGTTTTTATTTTAGTATAAATTAAAATAATGTCAAAAAGCAATAGATTTGGAAAAATATCTCATCTCGTGAAGTTTTTCTTGTTGGAAAAAAAATTGGAACAATACCTATCACACAATTGCCAACTAAAAAAACCGTTGTGCAATATAACCATTACAGAGATCTTATGCTAAAAGCTGATTTTCCAAATATTTCTTCAGTTAGTATAGCTTCATGTTCTCTAGGAATTTTTTTTACTGCACAATGTGCTGAAATAGGTGGTTGTCTCCAAAAATGTTGTCTTTCACGAGGTGAAGAAAATTTGGCAAAAAGCAGGATTTCCTTACACTAATACTGACAAGCACATTAGGTTTTTTCTTAACGACCAGAAAGGAGTGCGTGT